AAGAATACTTCATTAGTAGTAAATATGTGTCTTCTGGTAATGCCTAAATGCTCCAATCAACATTAAGGCTCTGTTGTGTGGGAGCAACACTGGGTATGGCTACACTGTAAAAAACTCCACGGCAGTGAGTCTGTCCGAGCCCAGGGCTATCGATGCAGGCTCATGCCACAGCGTTAAAATAGCCATGTAGATGTTTCAGCAAGAATACTTCATTAGTAGTAAATATGTGTCTTCTGGTAATGCCTAAATGCTCCAATCAACATTAAGGCTCTGTTGTGTGGGAGCAACACTGGGTATGGCTACACTGTAAAAAACTCCACGGCAGTGAGTCTGTCCGAGCCCAGGGCTATCGATGCAGGCTCATGCCACAGCGTTAAAATAGCCATGTAGATGTTTCAGCTGAGGCGGGAGACTGGACTTTGAAGCCCGCTGCATTTCACAGGTGGTAGAACTAGCACCATTGCACAAGTCTGGGCTCTGAGACTCACTGATGCTGGGTTGTATTTTTGTTTTGTTCTGTTTGACAGTGTAGTGTTTCTTAAACTTTTTAAGACCGAGGAACACCAAACAATAATTTTTTTTTCTGAGGAACATCAAGGATTTTTTTGTTGAGCAAAAAAAAGGTCGGGGAAAAAGGGTCGGGGAGAAAAAAGGGTGGGGAAAACTTATTGAGGAAAAAAAAAAGTCACCTGCCCCTTTAAGGGTGGCCATTTTTAAATCTGTTGTTCTCCGCAGCAACCTCCAACTGCCTCGTGGCACACCGGTGTGCCGCCGAACACAGTTTAAGAAACACTGGTGTAGACGACACTGGAAGGCTCTTGTACAGAGTTTTCTATTTGTAAATATCAAAGCACATCCGCATTTTATAGAGCCAAGAATACAACTCGGGTCTCCAAGCTTCCAGTCTAATGCCCTATCCACTGCCTCCCATTTGGGGAAGTCACTTTACCTCTGTTGACTCAGTTTCCCAGGGTGAAATGCAGTAACAACATCACCTCACAAGGCATATGTTAAGCTTAACTATTTACAAGTTGATAATGCACTTAGGGGACAAAAAGTGTTGTGTTTTACTATTAAAGGGACCATTTGCAGTTACCATTCCAGAGTTTGGAGTCCAGTGCACATTGTTGCTATGGTGGATTTTACATTAAAATAGATATTACCTGGGGTAAAGTCTCACAGAGATGGTATGAGAGAAGAAGCAAGGTCTTCACACTGTCCTGTTCAGAAATTTCAGGGGGTAGCCGAGTTAGTCTGTTACAGAAGGAAAAAAAAAAAAAAAAAAAAAAGTCTGGTAGCACTTTATAGACAAAAAGCTCATGATACCATCTCTAAGTTTTGTTAGTCTATACAGTGCTACCAGACCATTTGTTGTTGTTTTTTCTGTTCAGAAATGTTTTCCAAAAGGGCCTCAAGGCATCATACAGTCTGATTTTGACAACATGCTGGTGAAAATAAAACTACAGAGCAGATCTTGGCTATGGTAGAGGACTGACACTCTCTAGCTGAACCACTAGCTATTGGGCTTATTGCAGGAGTTACTGCATGAAATTCTGTGGCTTGTGTTCTGAAAGGTGACTGATTCGACAGTGATAAGTCCTTGCTGAACTTTAAAATCTGTGAATTTAGGAAAATCTCACAATTAGTAAGTTTGGGAAAATAATGTTCCAAGTTCAATTTTAGTCCACAAAAGTCCAAGAAATCCAGAGATAAATTTGGTAGTCTCTCTCCTATTAAGATTAAATAAAATAATTGTGTACATAGCCCATAAGCAGAACTACAGTCATTTTACAATCATTATAATATTGGTTAACAATAGAAAAGCTCTCTATGTGCCTGGACTCTTGCATCTTTTTATTTACACAAATATAAACATCTGCCTCTTTCCTACTTTTAAGTATCAGAGGGGCAGCCGTGTTAGTCTGAATCTGCAAAAGCAGCGAGGAGTCCTGTGGCACCTTATAGACTAACTGAAGTGTAGGGGCATAAGCAAGAGTGGGGCCTCTGGGAGAGGGCACTAGTCACATTTAGTTGTAGGACTGTATTTGATAAGAGCCTCCGTTTAGCTGTAGTACAAAGAGAGCAGGCCCTTAGCACATGTAAATCAGAATAGCTCCATTGCTTCTAAAGGACTGCCTCCTTTTACACCTGCAGAATATCTGCCCCTCTGTATTTTCTATCTCATCCACTATTTAAGCAGTGTTGTTTTTGGTTACCTTCATTATGAGCTTAGAGCACGCAGAACTACATTTTACAAATACTGACCATACCAACCTTTAAAAATATTATTTTCTACAGCAAAATATCTGCCCTTCATTTATAGGTGTAAAACCTAGCACTTCTCTACCACAACTCCTGTAATTATGGTATGTCAATTCTGTTTGCAATAAAACTTCTTTAATGCCTCTTAGAAAGCTATTAGTTCTTTCTTGCTTTCTGCCTCATTTACTTGGAAGAAGTGATACTCCTCCAGTTTCCGTCGCAAAGGAATACAGCTATTTTTCAACCCCTTACGTACTTGTCAAGAAAACTTATTTCCTGATATATATTGAGTGATTTTCCACTCACTCTGTTTTAGCTAAACTAACAGCAGCTGCACAGATTATAAACAAATTCTAAAAATCATTTTTCATTTTCCTTTCTGACATTAGCCCCCTGTCAGGGGTCCTCTGCTCTCCACTGGGTCACCTTCTTGTGGAAATAGCTTCACTTGGCCTAATGCCCCCTTCTGTCTCTCATTCACATTGCATCTTCTCTCATGCTTCAGAATTTGCTGTGCTCCCTCTTTGTAGCCTGAAATGCTCCCTCTTCATGGCTCGTCCCTCCAGCCTGGTCACTGTAATTTTCCCTTCCAGGGTATCAAAATATCACTGTCTCAGGTAGTCTTCTATTCTAGTGACCAGACCAGTAGGAAAACATGGGCCCACCCACTACTCTTTATACCAGCCAAGGGATCCTACAGCTAAGTTCTGCTCTGTCCCAGAACTTGCTATTATTTCCTTTCTCTGCTGCCTCTTCTTACTCTGTCTGTCAGGCTTCCTTATCTACCACCCTCCTGAATAAACTCTTCTCTCCCGCCAGGCTCCTAGATTTCCTCCTTCCCCTCCCTAGGCCCTCAGCATGACTGCAGGCTTCCACACTTGCCAGGCTCCAAGAGCTTATGCTTTATCTCCTAGATTTCCTCCTTCTCCTCCCTAGGACCTCAGCATGACTGCAGGCTTCCACACTGCAGCTCCTTCCTATCCTCACTCCCTGCCAGCTGGTCTCCTCCTCAGTCAGTGTTTTCCTGTCAAGCCTGCCTCTCCTTCAGGGTGTGGCCCATCCTCCCACATTCAGCCCTGAAACCAATGGACAGTTTTCTCATCTGTCAAAGACTCTGTTCCCATCTGCTGTCTAAACCAGCACAGAACACTGAGAGCCAGGACTAGTGGCTGTAAACAAGCTTTATGAGACCATGGGGAACTTGCCCACACTTGGTAAATGGAAATCTGGCTACCTAAACTCATGCTGGCGCACTAATGTTGCGGACCAGAGAGTGCCAGACTAGAGAGATTCAATCTGTACAAATTTTGTATCCATGTACTGGTCTACCAATGGGTAATCACCCTGACAATTAAAAATTTGGACTTTATTTCCAATTTGAATTTGTCATGCTTCAGCTTCAAGTCATTGGTTCTTAATTTCTACTGAATCTAATGTTCTTAGTTCTTGAATTGTAGCTCTTTCCCAGCACATTCAGCTCTTGTTATTGATTAACAGCAAAGTCGCTTATTCCTAGAGATTAACACATGAACAATAGCTGCTACCTTGAGCCTGCAGCTCCTATGACTGGGTTTCCTGATGAGGAAACAAAGGATCTTTGTGTTTAGTAAAACAGAGGCCAAAAACACGATCTCCCTGAAGCCATTTAATTGTAAAAGTGACATACAAAGTTTCTGTCTTTTTGTTTTATGTCTTTACAATGTATAAAGATCTGAGTATTGGGAGAGAGGTTTTAAGGAGAAGGAAGAAATTGCTGTTTTATATTGGAAATAATGGGTCTTCTCTGGTGTAACAGGCAAATTCTGTAAACTATTAGTTTACAGAATTAGTGGATTTAGAACCTTTCAAGAAGCTGAAAACTGAACAAATGAGAGGAAGAAGGAAAGAAGAGGGAAGAATTATGTATCATGCAGGGGAATGATGCAGTATTTGGCTATTACAGCTACAAGTCTAAGGACACCCACAAGACTGTGCCAAAAAGTGTGTATTTTTTATTTTATTTACATTCTTCTAATTTATGCTCATCTAGCAGCAGGAGATGATAGCATTTTGGAAATCAAGAAATAACAGGACAGATTGGAAGCTAAGTTTACAGTGATTCATGAAATCAATCGGCAGATCTGCCCTGTGTTTCTGATGCAACTACAGTAAAACTCCATTGGTCCGGCATCTGATGGTCCAGCACTCCTGATGGTCCGGCACCATCAGGAACCTAGAAGTATTCCGGGCAGCCAGACCATTGGAGCTGCTCTGCCCCCGGCTTCCTCAGTTCAGCTGCTGCTGAAACTGACCAGCGGCTGAATCGGGGAAGCCGGGGGCAGAGCAGCTGGGGGGCTGCCGGGGTGATCTCACAGTGCCAAGGGGCGGCACTACCGGACCAACCCAGGAGCCCCCCAGCTGCTCTGCCGCAGGTGCCACAAGAGCACCTGGGGTGCTGCCAGGTTGATCTCGCAGTGCCAA